CCCGCCACCACGCTCGGCTAATTTTTTGCATTTTTAGTAGAGACAGGGTTTCACCGTGTTAGCCAGGATGGTCTCCATCTCCTGACCTCATGATCCACCCACCTCAGCCTCCCAAAGTGTTGGGATTACAGGCGTGAGCCACCGCGCCTGGCCAGTTTATGCTAATTTCTAAAAGTTACATATAGGTTTAACAGCAAGGTATAGGTTAGGAAGAAATGGAATAGTCTTAAACTTTCTATTGAAATATATACATGCAAAAAGTTGACAAATCTTAAGTGTACAGCTGAATGAATTTCCACAGTGAAAGCATCAAGCAGTCAGCACCCAGATGAAGAAACAGACGATTACCAATACCCCAGAGGATTCCTTTGTGCCCCTCTCCAAGGTAACCACTCTACAGGACTTCTAGTACTACTGATGAGTTTTGCCTGACTTTTTGAACATTACTTAAAGGGAGTAATATAAAGCAACAGTTCTCAAACTTTTTGACTTATAATCCCTTTACACACTTAGAAATTGAGGACCCCAAAGGGCTTTTGTTTCTGTGGATTATGGCTATTAATGTTTACCATCTTATAAATTAAAACAATTTTTAAAGTGCAAGCATCCACAAACACATAATACATTAGCTCTTGGAGATGACTCATCATTGCCATGTAGTGTGCCCATTATCAAGGTATTGCCTCTTAGTTCGAAATACACCTTTTATTACCTGTACTGTGATAATGGAACCGGCCCCTATAAGCATTTCTCCTTTGCAGTATGCATGATGCATACTTAAGCTCTGTAGGTAGAAGGTGCTGGAGGGACAATGCAGGAGGAAGATACTTCCCTCCCCGGTTCCAGCGTGCTTCCATTTGTTTTCCTCTCCCTCAAACTGTGCGGCTGCCAGTGGACTGTGGTGGATAACCAGGGCATTCACCCCGCTGAACTTCAACAGCACCCCCACAACAACAGACCACATATATGATGGTAGTCCCATATCATTATAATGGAGCTGAAAAATACCTATGGTCTAGTGTCATTGTGGCCACCATCAACATACTAGCATAATTACTTAATATGCAAAGTACATTTAGTAGAGCCTAAGTGTACAGTGTTGATAAAGTCTACAGCAGTGTATACAGTAAAGTCTTAGGCCTTCACATCCACTCAGCACTCACTCACCCAGAGCAAGTTCCACTTCTGCAAGCTCCATTCATGGTAAGTGCCCTATACACGTGTACCATTTTTCATCTTTTATACCATATTTATACTGTATCTTTTCTACGTTTACATACACAAGCACTATTGTACTACACAACTGCCTACAGCATTCAGTACAGAAATATACTATGCAGGTTTAGAGACTGGGAGTAATAGGCTATACCGTATAGCCTAGGTGTGTAGTAGGCTGGACCATCTAGGTTTGTGTAAGTACACTCTATAATGTTTACACGATGACAAAATTGTCTAATGACCTATTTCTTAGAACATACCCCAGTCATTAAATAACACATAAGTGTACCTAACAATTCAGAAATATAGAGCTACAGAAGTCGCTTGGTATTTACTATTACTAATATTTTTCTATTGTTATAGTCCTACTCTGGCTGGATGCAGTGGCTCATGTCTACAATCCCAGCACTTTGCAAGGCTGTGGCAGGAGGATCACTTGAGCCCAGGAGTTTGAGACCAGCCTGGGCAACAAAGTGAGACCCCGTTACTAAAAAAGTCCTACTCTATTTATCTTATCTCAGGGCACTGGCCTGAAAAGGTCCTGCTGACTTTTTATTAAGTTCCTGAAACTGCATTAAGAGGATTAAATATATTATCCCATGTATGCTTGTAACAACCCTAAGACAGAGTTATTACTCTCCAAATTTTACAGATGAGGAAACTGAGGCTTAAAGTAATAGATTGTTCATGATAGCAGCTAGTAACAGAACTACAAGCTGAATCCACAACTTATGATAAAACTTGTAATGCTCATCAATCATCCATATGTATGTCAAGAACTACAGTTTGAAAGAAGAGCCAAGAAAAGAATTTTCAAGAAATTTCTACACCAAGGTGACTATGCATGTATAATCCGATGCTCTCCTCCATGTCCCTTCAAGCTATGATTTTCAATGTATTCTTTTTCCCCCATTAAATTTCATCTGTCACTAGCATTTATCAATGACAACTCATATTTCATAAAATGTCTGGCTACCTGCCAGGCAGTGTTTGGCAATGTTACAAAATTACTTCTCTGTATACTCTCATTCAGAGAAGATCAACTAAGATCTAACCATAAAAGTAAGAGCAAAGCACAGTGATTCAGAGCACATATTTTGACCCTGAGACCTAGATTCAAATTTCACTTGCGTCACTTACTAACTGTACTTTGGACAAATCATTTAATTTCCCTAAGTCCAAGTTTCCCCATTTGTAAACTGAGCACATTACTACTACTTTGCCCATCTGTTTGAATATGACAATGTGTATAATACTGGTATATAATAAAGCATTCAATAAATGCTATTAAAATTAGTTTTTAAGTATCTAAGACTAACTATATAGGATGGAATTGGCTTACTAGATGATTTGGAATCTGTCTTACACTTCCTTCCCTAAGATTACACATGAGAAAAGTTATTCAGGGACTGTTGGTTCTATTTAACTCTTCTGAACAGTGTAATAATGTCATTCTTCCCTCTAGTTTCCTTCAGGAAACGTGCCCTTAGAGACTGTACAAGGCAGTAGAAGTTATTGGCAGACAGGATGATCCGGACACAGCCAGCTACACACCAGTTAAGCCCATGTCCTAGAACATAAGCAAGGTTTCTCTGGATTCCAAAAGGTGGTGAAAAAGCTGCACTCCAGGGGCCATCCCACAGCATCATTCCTTCCACATAGGGGAGCAGGCATGGAAAGCAGCTGACTACCTCTGTCCAGCACAGCTGAGGCTTAAGAAAATACTATCTAATATTTACCACTTGGCATTTCATTGTGAATCTGCTTTGGAAGTCAGGAAATGACTAGTAAAATAAAGAAAAAAAGGTGGAGATGGAAAAGTCCCTTTGGAGTCAGCTTCTCCTGAGAATCAAATAGGGACGTGGAGCTCACTCCTTGAACAGAGGCCTTCTCTGTATCCTAGATTGCAGGAAGTGTGCAAAACACTATACAAATCCTCACAACCACCCTTGTAATTCTCCTTATCTTAGAGATAAGGACCTGAGGTATAGAAAAGTCAGGCAACTTGTCCTAAACCACATAGCCAGTAAATGGCAGAGCCAGACTTGGACTTTGCCATTATCAAGATATTAATGAGAAATTTACCTAGAGACAATTTGAAAAGGAACAAACAGAGAAAAAATAAGAGTATAGATTGAGAAGCTCTAGTATATGCATATAAGTAGCTCCAAAAGAACAGACTGGAGGAAATAATGAAGCAGCAGTATTTGAGATTACAGCTAGGAATGTCCCACAATTGAAGAAAAATATCAGTGCTCACATCAAAAGTACACTATGTGCACTGAACATGTAGATACATAAAGATAAATCTACACTTTCACAATTACAAGATACATAGGTCTTACTAATAAAGGAAAAGTATACAGCTTCCAAACCAAGAGACAGAAAACCATGAATGGTAAAACTTTACCAGTTGAAACTGTATCAATTAGAAAAGCAGGAAAAGAGGGAAAAAAGGAAAAAGATACTAAACAGAAAGCAAGATTTATTAGGTCAAAGTTTATGAAACTGTCATTTTCTTGGGTCAAAAGTGGTTGAATATCAGTTTCATATGGTTCAACATAAAAGAAGTTCAAATATATCAAGTCATAATACATGTAGATCAAGTCATAATATACACAAAAGTCATCTATTAAAAACCAAAGATTAAATTTAAAACACAAAGTTCCAGCCTGGGCAACATGGTGAGACCCCCATCTCTACAAAACATTTAAAAAATTAGCCAAGTGTAGTGGTATGTGCCTGTAGTCCTTGTTACTCGAGAGGCTGAGGTGGGATGACCGTTTGAGCCCAGGAGGTTGAGGCTGCAGCCAGCTGTGACTGCGCCACTGCACTCCAGCCTGGGCAACAGAGCAAGACCCTGTTTCTCAAAAATATATATGCGTGTACATACATACTGAGAGTCCATTCAATGGTAGGCTGCCTATGAACATGAGCACGAGAGAAGCAAAAAATTAAATAAATAAATGGTAGGCTGTCATTTAAAAGAAAAAAGTCCAGCCATCTAGTAGAAATACACCTAAAACAAAGTCCTTTCCTATGCCAAGATCACAAAGATCTATTTTCTCCTATGTGAACTTTTAGGGCTTTGCTGGTTTGCCTTCACATTTATTTCAGGTAATACATATAAAATTGATTTTTCTGTATGGTGTGAGGTAAAGATGCAGTTTCAGTTTTGTCTTGAATTATATCAAGTTGGCCCAGCATCATTCATTTGTTCATTTTTTAGAAGATCATCCTTCTCCTACTGCCACATAGTGCCACCTTTGTCCTAAACCAAGTGTTCAAGTATGTATTGGACTGGTCATGAACTCGCTATTGTGTTCCACTGATCTGCTTGTCTATCCTTGCAACAATACCACATTATCTTAATTACTATAGTTTTCTAAGAAATCTTAATAGTTCTGTAAGAATGTCTAGCTCTTCCAGGTCTTTGCGTTTCCAGTCACATTTGAGAATCAACTGGTCAAATTACATATGCAAACGTGGTTGTGACTGGAACTGCATTAAATCTACTAATGAATGTGGAAAGAACCAACATCTTTATAATATTAAGGAGTCCGACCCCATGAATGTGGGATAGTTCTCCATTTATTTAGGTATTTAATTTTTCTTTGCTTTAGAGTTTACTCTGAAGAGCCTTTCTTGGATATCTGATATTTTCAGATTGCATTATAAGTATTATTTAAAATTGTTTTATTTCCTAGCTTTTGTAAGAAAACAACATACAGAAATGCAATTTATTTTTCTTTTTAATATTAACCTTAAAATCTTCAACCTTGCTGAATACACTTTTTTTTTTTTTTTTTTTTTTTTTGAGACACAGTCTCACACTGTCACTGAGGCTGGAATGCAGTGTGGCATAATCATGGTTCACTGCAACCTCGAATTCCCGAGCTCAAGACATCCTTCTGCCTCAGCCTCCTGAGTAGCTGGGACTACAGCTATGAACCACTGTGTCCAGCTATTTATGTAATTTTTTTGTAGAGATGGGGTCTCATCATGTTGCTCAGGCTGGTCTTGAATTCCTGGACTCAAGCAATCTTCCTGCTTCAGGTGCCCAAAGTGCTAGGGTTACAGGTGTGAATCACCGTGCCCAGTCTCTAAACACTTTTTGATTCTAATCCTCTAATTCTTTTGGATTTTTGTTATACACAATCATGTCAACTGCAAATAATAAAATTTTAATGAACTTCTTAAATTAATACATTTTAACAAATTTTAATTCCTCTTTTCCAATCCTTGTAACAGTTACTTATTTTGCTCGCCTCCTTACACTGGTTAAGACCTCCAGTACGACACTGAACAGAAGTGGTGTTAACAGGCATCTGTGTCATGTTCCAGATCTCAAAGGGAAAGCTTTCAAAATTATTATTAAATATAGATATTTGCTGGGAGGGTTTTGTTTTTCTAGAAACATCTTGTCAGATTAAAGAAGTTCCCTTCTATTCCTAGTTTGCTAAGGGGTTTTATCATGACAGTGACAAATTTTATCAAATGTTTTTCCTGTATCTAATGAAATGATCACACAACTTACCACCTGTTTTCCTATAAATGTGGTGAATCTAAATGATCCTAAACCAACTTCACATGCCTGGAATAAACCAACTGATTTTTAATGTATTATTTATATTGCTGGATTTCACTTGTAAATCTGCATCTATATCGAGATTACTGGTCTGTAATATTTCTTTGTTGTAATAACCTTGTTGGATTTTCATATCAAGATCATGCTGATTTCATGAAATAAGTTTGATATGTTGCTTCGTTTTCATTGGCAAAGCCATCTATGCCTGGAAGTCTGTGTTTATGTCTGACTTCGTGAGTATCTGTGTGTAACGATCTTTTTTTTCCTTTGAGATGGAGTCTTGCTCTGTCACGCAGGCTGGAGTGCAGTGGCGTGACCTGGGCTCACTACAAGCTCCACCTCCCGGGCTCACACCATTCTCTTGCCTCAGCCTCCTGAGTAAGTGGGACTACAGGCATGTGCCACCACGCCTGGCTAATTTGCAGTTTTAGTAGAGACCGGGTTTCACCATGTTAACCAGGATAGTCTTGATCTCCTGACCTCATGATCTGCCTGCCTCAGCCTCCCAAAGTGCTGGGATTACAGGTGTGAGCCACCATGCCCAGCCGTGTGTAATGATTTTAAATAATTAATTTAATAGCTTATATTAATATTATAACACTTAATAGCTATAACTTAATACTTAATAGCTATAACACTTATATTTTCTACTTTTTTCTGATGTCAGTTTTACTAAGTTATATCTTTCTAGGAACTAGTAAGTTCATCTAAATTTTTAAAAATTGGGGTGTTATTTATAATATTCACTTATAATCTTATCTTTATGTCATTGTGGTAAGAACACTTACCATGAGATCTAGGTTTTTAAGGGTACAATGCAGTGTTGTTATCTACAGGCACAATACTGTATAGCAGATATCTAGTCCTTATTCATCTTGCATAACTGAAACACTAATCAGCATCTCCTTTCTCCCCTGCCACTGGACCCTGGCAACTACCATTCTACACCCTGCCTCTATGAGTTTAACTATTTAAAAAACCTCATAAAATCTACGTATAATCTTTCAAATGTCTGCAAGATGTGCAGGGATGCTGTCTTTTTCATACCATTATCTGCTATTTAGGAAGGCGTTTTTTGATTTTATTTTATTGATTTTTTTCCAAAGAACTTTCAGCTTTGTTGAGCCTCTATACTTGATGTTTGTATTCTACTTTATAATTTCTCATCTTTGTGATATATTATCTTCTAAGTTCTGGATCTGTAATGACACCAGCTTTCACTCCTTATATGGATTTGTGCCTCTCCTTATTTTCTTGATTAGTCCATTTTAACATTTTTTTTCCCATGAACTTTTGACTTTGCTGTTCCTCTACTGTACGTTTTTATTTCCTAAGTTTCCAAGCTTTAAGTTTCCACTCTTTCTTCTACTTATTCTAATTTGTTCCTTTTCTAATTTCTTAAGATGGTTAGTTCAGTAATTTTCCATCTTCTTTTTAAAAAAAGTTATGTATTTAATGGTACATATTATCACCTAAGCATGGAATTAGCTTCATTCCACAAGTTTTGATATGCAGCATTCACATTGTCAACTTTGATAACGTATTTTCTTCCTCAATGCACTGAATTCCTAGCTAACATGAGCTACAAAAAGAGAAAATAGACAAATGAAACATGTAATGAACCTGTCCAATAACAATGCATATTATGGGCCAGATCTCACACCTTTAATACCACAAGCACACAATTTACTTGACTTTAAGGATATTGGTACAATGCCTTTAGGTCCAACTACCAATTCACAGGACAGGGAACTGAAGAACATGTTCAATGACACCACAGTGATGCAGTCAGCAAAATGTAGGCTGAGAAAAGATGTGAGGTATTCTACCTGGATTCTTCAAATAATAAACTGTAAGGAAAAAAGATAGAGAAGGAACCTACAGACTTAAGAGACTTAAGAGAATACCCACCAGCTGCAATTTTGATCCTGACACCTACACTATAAAAAAAGAAATATGTATGTCATAACTAGGGAAGTCTGAATATTAACTGAGTATTTTATGATATGAAGGGATCATTGTTTATGTTATTTTAGGGGTGAAAATGGTATCATGATTTTTATTTTTCTTTTCTATGAGTCCTTATCTTTCAGAGCTACATACCAAAATATTTAGAAATGTTTTGTCTTTGCTTGGGGTTAGAGAATATGCTTCTAATCTTACTTACCTGGTTGTTCACAAAAAGCCATAAACCACACAGGTGTCGACATAGGGCTGCTGCTATTGTGTCAGGGGCTTATCCCAGAGCAAATGATCACAGCAAGAGTAAAGACCAATGTGGAAGCCACAGCATATTTGATAACATAATATTGAAGGAGATACTTCATTTTACTTGCACCATGTTCTATTGCTCAAACAGACCAATCTTAGTGCAACATGGAGACTACAAAGAGGTGTGAATCCCAGGAGGCAAAGATTGTTGGGGGACATCTCAGAGGGTATAAGAATTCATAAGACAAAACTGTTAGGAATTGCTGAGGCTGAGTGGTGAATACATGAGGGTTCATTACATTATTATCTCTATTTTTGTATACATTTGAAATTTTCCATAATAAAAATTCTAAAACTTTTTTTTTTTAAAAAGGGTATCAGTCTAGAGATGGAATGAAGACATAAAAAGGCTACTCAGTGGTAGTAGTGACTCTGCGCTACCTCCTAGGCAGCCCAGTCCCACAGAGACCCAGCGGTTGGCCAGAAGGACTATGTACTGGCAGCTTTCACAAAAGTGGACTTTGTTGGGTCTGAGGAGTCTTGATCATCAAGTGTGAAACTTGGTGCATAAGCATTTGTATCACACCATTTCAACACTGTTCCTAGTATCATAAAGCTGTTCAATGTCCAAAACCTGGTGACTTACAATGCATTTAGAAGGTACTCATTAATAAAAGTATCTTCAAAAACCACATCAAGACAAAAAGACATAAATGTTTAATAACATGTGTTGAGAGTGGTGATATACTTAGGGGAGTTATTAAGATGACAAAAACGATTCTACTAGAAACAATAATAGTTGAGGTTCTTGAACGAAGTGTAAGGTTGTTTATAATACAAGCATCATTCAAACTGTAGACTGTGGAGAGTCTACAGTTTTCTTCAACAATGTTTAAATTTTCAGGAAAGCAAACAGTTTGTGAAAAATCTTTACAAATTAAGCTTCTTTTGACGGATCTCCACTTAATCAACTTGCTGGATAAAGAGATACTCTTCATCTCCTCTGTTTAATTTTTACATGCACAGTATTCAACAGTTACCTTATCATGACTTATTCATGGCTAAGCCATGTAGTAGTAAACTATGATTACTTTTGTTTTCTCTGAACAAGTTTTTTAAAGTTTTCCCTGAAGGTAGTGCCCATTTAATTTTTTTTCTTACTATGGTTTTCTATGTATTTTAATCCCAAACTTCCCACCAATTGTCTAAATCTACTGTAGACATTCAGCCAAATCAGGTGTAACTTCAATGGCATCTTCCTGAAGTCTCTTCTGGAATTTTCTCACTGGCTCCGTCTGGGCTGGTCGCTTCTGCCTGTGCAACTCTCACTCAGGCTCTCCCTTCATCATCTTCTGGTCATTCTCACCATTTCTCACACAAGCTGAATCTCCTGTTTTCTACATTCTATGTCTTTCTTGTCCTTAGTTTATTTAAAACTAAGGTTTTAAATGGTAGTGTCCTATCTCTAGTAACTTCCTGAGAATGGCTGCTTGGCAGTTCAATGTTCTGAGATCTTGCATGTCCAAAAATATCCTCATTTAACCGGTGCACTTTATTGCAAGTTTGGCTGAATATAACATTTTAGTTTAGAAATTATTTTCCTTTAGAATTTTGCTCCTTTGTTTCTAGAGTTGCTGCTGAGAAGTTTGAAGGCATTCTGATTAATAACCCTTTGATTGTGACCTGCTTTCGCCTCTTAAGAAACCTGTAAAAGGTCTTTCTTTTTCCCCCTTGGGAGTTGAAATCTTCAGTGTTCTGAAAGTCACAATGTCTTGGAGTACAGTCTATCTTCATCTATTGTCACAAAAAGTTGGTGGGCTCTTCCAATTTGAAAATTTGTGCAGTTCAGTTATGGAAAATTTTGTGGATAAATTTTCTCTTCCCTATTTTTAAAATTCTTTTTGAGACTCCTATTATTAAAATATTGGATTTCCTGATTGTCATTTCAATGTTCATATAATTTTACTGTTGTCCATCTCTTTGTTGCATTTTTATTTTCATTTTTTTATTTTCAAAAGCTCTTTCTCGTTCTCTCAGTGTATCTTTTGAATAGTATCCTATTCTTATTTTATGGTTGTAATATATTCTCTATTTTGTTGAGGTTATTAGTTATTTCTCTTAATGTGTTCTACCTTAATAGTTTTTCTTCCCTCAAAGTTGCTTTTTTCTGTTTGTTGAGGGCTTCCTGAGATGTCTAGTATTCTTTGCTTATCTATTTGTTACTAAGAATGCAAGACCAAGAGGCTGAATATGAGGCCTAAACACGTGAGTAGGACTCACTGACTATGCATTTCCATAAGGGTGATCAGGCTGCGCCATTAAGTTGGAAACTTTCCCAAGTCAATCAGCACTAAAATGCAATTTCTTGGAAATTCAGAACATACTTTTCATTCACATACTCTCAGGACCACACTAGGTACTTACCCTTCTCTCTAGGGCTATCCAATTCTGATGAGAAAGATCTTCCAGTCTCTTCTCTGGAGGAGGCAAACTTGGCTGCCAGCATCAATGGGAGCAAGGAGTGTAGGGGGCCTCAGCACAGAATGTATATGTTCACTTACTCTACCTATTTTCTGTAGTTTGCTTGCTTTTAACTCGGCCTATTGTACTCTAGTACCTTGTATTACCTTCTTATGGCACAACTAGACATCTAATTTGTATATTGCTGATATGAGTGTAAACTGGTATAAACATTTTGGGAAAATGTCTGGTAACACATGCTAATGCTATATAAATGCATAATCTATTCCTTCCTCTAGTATATAGCAAACAGTAACGGGCACTTAAGTCCTCCAAAAGACATGAACAAGAATGTCACCACAGTTTTATTTATAGTGGTCAAAAAGTAGAAATAATCCAAAGGTCTATCAATGTATAAATAAACGATGGCATATTCATATTACAAATCACTATACTACAGTAGAAAAGAATAAACTTCTGATATATGCAACAATATGAATTTTAAAGGCACAAAAAATGGTGTGGATCCATTATAAAAAGTTCAAAAAGAGACAAAACTACTCTATGTTTAGAGAGGTCAATATAATGGCTGCCTCTGGGGATGGAAGTACTGACTACAAAAAACATAAAGAGACTTTCAAGGGTGATGGGATCATTCTATGTCTTGATTTGGCTGATGGTTACACAGGTGTATACATAGCAAAAATTCAGCGAACTGTGCACTTATGACTGTTTTTTTCACTGTTTCAAGTTACATACAACTTAAATCTTTTGTAAAAAGTTGAGTATGTATTTTGGTAATAATAAAGTTTAAAATCCCCTACTAATCCATTAAGATAAATAATTATCTTCCAATACCTGAAATACATAGTGCTAATAATCAGTAGAAGCTTGAGATATTATTTCTATCAGCATTTAATTATTTTCTAAGTGGGGTAAGTAGTAACATAGTGATATAACATTTGCCTTAAGAACAATCAGCACTCAAGTGCAATTTACTGAAAATTCAGAACATACTTTTCATTCACATACTATCAGGACCACAATAGGTACTTACCCTTCTAACCTAACATCTGGTAAAGATCTGTTGAGTGCAATCATCTCACTTGCCATTAAATTGAACTGATTGATTTTAAACATCTCTTTCATCTTTTCTTGATCCTCTTTAGGAATGACGACTGGTTTCCCCATTTCTCCAGGACCTTCATGAGGCTTTTGTACTGGCTCTAGAACTAAGAATAGGAGGAAACTTAACTAACATTAATTTCATAGCAATTGATTGATTCATGATTCTATTTAATAACATTTGTGTTTGAACTGTGCCCTCAACAACCAGACCCCTTTCTGGGCCCACCCTCTCCAAGGCTGTTAACCCTTCCAAGGGGCTGTCTTGTCTTCCACCTCCACACCAGTGTCCTGATTCAAGACTTCCTCACCTTGCCCCACTCACCTGAGTCACTGCATGGTGTTGGCTCCCATCTCAAAAGCTACTCCCACAATGACCTCCCTAAAGTGCAGACTTCACTGTTATTCCTATGGCCTCCTAGAGTCCAACCTCTGTAATGTGGAATTGAACCTAATTTTCCAAACCTATCACCTGCTAGGCCTTCTTCTCCCACCCCACAGTACTTCATCTTCTGGTCAAACAGCCACCCACTGCCTTCCTTCCAACGTGCCTCACATTTTCCTGCTTCCATGCCTTTGCTCACATCCCGTTCCCACTTCCATCGCTGCAACACCAAATTCCTATTTGCCTTCCCATGCCCAACTAAAATGGCTTCTCTTGCCTGTAGCTTTTCTGAATCTCTCTGTAGTGGTTATTTACTACTCTTGACTATCACATTATTTTATCCAGGGTTCTTATGTCTCTAACCAATTACTATCTCTCATTATAATGATTGTCAAACCTATCTCATGTACCCCTCCCATTAGAACAAGTATTCTCATCAAAAGTAATGTTATCTCTTGATATAGACATAAAAAGAGCAATGTGCCTGATGAGCACTTCCCAAGCTTTGTTCCTTATTATATGCTTTTGAGATGTTAATAAATATCCAAGAAAAACAGGTTCTGGGATTCATTAAATTTGGAAGGTGCTATGTTAAAAACTTCTCATCTAAAAGGGATGGCTAAAGAATGGGGTGGGGCCAAAAACGGGATGAAAATACATTTTATGCATTACTTATTTTAAAATCTAAAGTTATTCTCTTGTAGAATGTTTTTTAGGCACCCTCAAAACATTTCTAAACAAAAATAGTGGCATCAAGGCACAGAAAAGCCATCTCTCTTCAGTCAGGCTTCATCTGTGCAAGAACAAGACTAGCTGGTAAAGTTGACTTTATTTAGGTGATTGTTTCGGCCAGTGGTACAAAGCCACCGACCAATACCAGAGCTGCAGGATGTGAAACTATTCATTGTGTCCTCAACCATGTCCAGAATTTAAAAACAGATTTCAGAGAATGATGATGAAAACAGTGTGCATTACTTTTCCCCTGTTCTCAGGATAAACTGTGTTTTTATGAGGAACAAATCACTTTAAAAATTATAGGAAACTCAAGTAAAAACAAGTTTTTAAAAACAAGTCCTGCCTAATATTTGCCCAGTAAGTAAGCTCCTTAAATATAATGGTTGGTAGAATTTTTTTAAATTCTCAATGACAAAAATCATCAACAAGTGTAGTAAAAACTATAATACAAATACAGAAGTGTAATGCTCCATACAAAATAAGCCTTTAAAGCTTTAAAAATCATAAATTGTAAAACTCGTATAGTCATTTCTACTTGCCAGTCTCCTCCGAAAGTAAAGAACAACCAACAGATTTTGGGACTGGTATATCAGGGGTCAAAAGGAACCAGCAGAGGTCTGAAGGTGACAACGATCTTTTGTGGATGGCACAGAAAACATAAAGAGTAGGTGGGAGACATCTAGTGGCCCTGATTATAAATATCCTTCTGTTACCCATGCCCTATTTTAGTATAAAATAATGCGTTACAAAAAAATGAAAATAGAAACGTTTTCACGCTGCTCAATTTTTAAATGAAGAGTATTAACGTATACATATACCATCTGTGTTTTTGCTAGGGGGAAAAAGATCCTCAACCTGATCAAGCCTCTAGACCTAATTCACAGGAAATATGTGAGACAAAGGCACATGGCATGCACCATTAAAGGGATGCAAATCCAGACTGCAGGAAACTGGAAATGAGAAATACCTCAATTTCTTCTTCAACAA